CAGAGGCAAAGCACACATTTTAAGAGACGAGACAAGCCAGTTCCTGCACATACATGCATCTGTGTAAGAGTACTCCAAGTCCAGAGGCCTCTGTGGCACTGCATGGATTCAGGAACTGTTGCATGTGTGACGTTAGACTCTGCTTTTTGAGATATGATGCTCCGACGAGGATTTATTCTATTTCTGCCCCGACTTGTAGGCCTGCTGGTGGTGGCCTGTTGCTCAATGTCTATTGTTTATATGTTGGCTTGCACACCCAAGGGTGACAACCAGCAGCTTGCCTTGCCCAGGGTGCACAATCCAACTATGAAGGAGGGATATGAAGCCATTCTGCAAGAACGAGAAGAGCAACACCGAAATTACATCATCAGCTTGAAGAAACAAATTTTCCAGTTGAAGGCTGAGCTCCAGGGCAGGACTGAACAGCTTAAGAACAAGCAGAACCAGTACCCGGATCCCTTGGACAGTTGGCTTGACCACAGTAACCCAGAGAAGGCCCAGGTTAACCTGATGGCTTTCCTCCGTTCCCAAGTAGACAAAGCAGAGGTGCACAGTGGGGTTAAGCTGTCCACAGAGTATGCAGCTGTGCCCTTTGAGAGCTTTACCCTGCAGAAGGTGTACCAACTGGAGACAGGGCTGACACGCCACCCAGAAGAGAAACCTGTAAGGAAGGATAAGCGTGATGAGTTGATAGAGGTGATCGAGTTAGCAGTTGGGAGTTTGAACAAACCAGAGGGGGTCAGCAATGCAAAACATCGTGTGTATACAGCCTCTGACTTCGTTGAAGGTTTGTATGCAGACAGCAGGTTAGAAGGGCCACACAGTGCTGGTGAGGGGTTCTGGTGACTGAGTTGATGAGGGAGGTGGGAGTTATCTTAGAGCACAGATGCCTGGATGGTGTTAGTTGACTGAGTTGCTGAGGGAGGTGGGAGTTATCTCAGAGCACAGATGCCTGGATGGTGTTAGTGCTGTGACCTAGCGATGCTGTCTCAGGGACAACTGTACAACAGCAGCTTTCCTGGAGAATGGGACTTTGTGACAGCAGAACCTGCCAGTCTCTTGTGGTGATCACCAGAGTGTGGTCATAGCTCCCTAGTCATGCACTTGCCTCAGAACTGACAAAGGAAAGAGAGACTGACCAGGCTGCAGTCCCAGATCTGTTACCAGTATTAACATGGACAGCTGCAGTTCAAATCCAAACTCCAATGTTACACTTACTTCCACCTGCACAGCTCTGCCAGAGTCAGAGTGGGAATACAGGTTTTGAGCACAGCAGCTGAGTAGCTCAGTAACTCGACTAGTATCACCTATAACTAAAAATGGCAATGAAAGCTTAACTTTTACAGGGTTTCTCCTATACCAGCAGTGGTACACCTTAGACATTAGATTCTAAAATGAGCTAAACAGTCTTTACTCTCACATGTAATACTGAGGCAGTAAGTGTGGATGTTTAAAGTGCCACTTTTAACAGCAACCAGTTTTTACTTCACGTCTTCCATCACTGAATCCAGAGTGCTTACTTGTTTCCTATCAGGCTGCTTTTTCCCTGCCAGAGAGAGGCACCAGATGTATTCCAGGAGTTGTGATGTGGTTGATACCTGTTGAGGTTAGGCCCTGCTGCATGGCAGCTCTGAGCTAAAAAGGCAGGAATATGTGCAGCAGAAACATGGTATGAGACAAGATTTCACAAATCTTGTTTCCAAGGGCTGGTGACTGTTTCTCGTTCAAAAAGAGAGCTACATTTTTACTTGTAATGTGATTGTCCTAGTTTCACTTCATAGGAACTGGCATGTTTTCTGCTTGTTGTTCAACAGTGTTGTCTGTAAGTGAGATTTAACTCACAGCTGATGTAGCTGAATTTAGCATAGGAGAAAAAATGCCTTCCTCATCTTCAGCTGTCTGTGCTGCAGACCTAGAGAACATGTGGGTAAGATGCCTACATTTTATGGAATGCCTGCTCTTATGTGCTGATCCCAAATCACTAGTGATTTTGCTGTGGATTGTTTTCTTCACCAAGCATTTATGGATAGAGCATAGCAAAATGCATCCTCCATGTGATGAGGACAAACTATTTCTGTTGTGCATTGGCTGTTTTTTCACTTCCACTCTGTATAAGTTTCTCTGGTGACAGTAGGTTCTTGAAGCCAATCTGGGATATACCTGCCAGTTGGTCAGGTGTCTCCCATGGCAGGGAGGTGAATTTTTTAGATTGTGGAGATCTCACTGAGGCAGATCCTGGCTCCTCTCTGGCCCAAGCACTACCTCCACACCAGCCCAATTCCTTGCTCAGACATGGACCAGGGCATTGGCAGAGAACTGGGAAGTGCTGCCAGCATTTGAATGCATCGTGTAGCTACATGCTTCTATTATTCTCCTTTCTGTTTGTTTTTCAGCTTATCTTTTCAAAATATGTTTTCACAGTTTATTATAGGTGCTGAACAAGCATGTATGACTGTTTGGCACCAGGTCTTCAATGGGCAGAGGGTGAAGAGAAAGGAGGGGATGTTTCCTGCCATACATTACTTAACATTCCATTAAAGTTACCCTTTTGCTTAGAGCCTGCCTTTATGCTGATTACCAGGCTGTGCTTGGGGAGCAAGGCAGAATCTGGTGTGCAAAAAGGCATGGGGAAGAAATGAACATTGCAGTGCTGGCTCTGTGGAGGTTCTTCATGTACTAATGGCCTTGCTGGCTTTCATATACCATGGTGAAATACTCCAGAATGAGGAAGCCCTGCACATGACTTGGAGCTCAGGAGACTGGAGCACTGTGTACAGCTTAGTCTGAGCTCAAGAAACCTTCCTTTTGTCCTCCCCTCTGGGGCAGGCCCTTGCTTCTGTAGGTGCAAGGGAACAAATTCTCATTCTCACTCAGTAGTGCAGACTGATTTGTTTGCAAATGCAGGGATTCATGCATCAGGGCTGGAAACAAAGAGACCTGGCAGAAGATTTCCCTGCCAAATTCCCTTGAAAATCTCTGTCACTTTATTGCACTCCTTTTTCCCTCATCCTCCATTCTCCAAGAATGGCAAAAACTGCCACTCAAAGCACAAACAAATCCATTGCTCTGTGTAACTCGAGTGGGTGAAGGGAGGACTGTTCCAGTTCTGTATTTGGACTTAGAACTTGTTTTGAAGAAAGTGCTCTGCAGGTGCCACTGCCTACACAACAAGTCAGGAAGAGGCTGCATTCCATGGCAGCTTCTGGCAGCTTAGTACAAATCCAGCAACACAGCAACCATGAACTGCGTTTACCCAGCCACCATGCCAGCTGTTTTCATTTTCTGGAACTGCCCAGGGTAGCTGGAGCTCTCTGGGAGATGTGGCCCATGCCTGCAGTGAAGGTAATACCACTTAACCCTCCAAGTCTTTGTCTTCCAGCTGCTTAAGCAATTGCAGCACACATAAGCTGTGTGCATCTGTCATGTTAAAGGTGGGGCTGCTGCCCTCATCTTAGGGTTGCTCAGGTGGAGGGATGTGCTGAAATAAAAATCAGGTAATCGGGGTCAGAGACAGGATTTAAATCTTGAACTGCAGCTCTTGGTAGGTGAAATTTGTTTCTTTGTTTCTGCTCTATTCAGTGAAGCCTTTGACACAAGGTTTACTCTAGTGTGTTGCTGACCCCAAGTCTTGCTAGTACATAGAGTTGTGCAAGTTAATCTTGTTTGCTTGGGCGTCTTGTGTGGATTTTTCTCTTCTTGTGGACCACATCTGGCACCTGCTATCAGTTTTTCAGTACTAGTTCATTGCTAGCATATGCCAACAGGCAGGGTGGTGGTGTGGGGCAGTAAACTCAGGGTCTGTGTCTCTCCCTCTTTTCCATTTTGTGCCTTTATTCTTGTCTTTGAAGAGGGAAATTGTTTCTTCAAACACTTCTTACATTTAAGGAGAAATGTTTTGTCCCTATGGCTGGGATCTCTAATAATGTGTTGCATCCTCTGCAGTTTCCAGACAGAATGACTTGTGTGTGGGAATTAGGCTGTGACCCGAGTACCTCACATCTGAGTTAAACTCCTTCTCAGCAGATTTGCTGTTACATGAAATTTGGATAGAATTCTCAGACAGTTCTCCTTCCAGAGTAATAGCTGACACGTGGTGGAATTTTCCATATTTTTTTTCCCTTATTCGAAACCAAGAGAGCCACACCTTGTCCTTGGAGCTGGAAATGTATCCATCTGGCTGATGCTCTGCTCTGCTTCTGTCTTCACAGAGGCATTCAGGCTGTACAGCTGCTATAATGCTCCCCCCTCACTCATATTCTTCCCATTTCTATACCAAGTTCACTAATTTTCTGCCACAGGGAGCTAGTAAGAAACAGCATGGAAAATATCAGAAATTTCTGTGTATTATAAGCAGGAAAAGGACTGCTCTGTTTCCAACAGAAAACCAGTTGCTTAGTGGGCAGGATAACAGGTCTGGTCATTAATTTATGAAAATAGCAGCAGAGCTGAATAGATCTGGAAGTCATTCATTTTCTCAAAGATGAAGATAATAATTTGGAGACTCTGACAAGTCTGAGTGCTGTGTTCCATAACTGAATGGAATCACTGTCTGGGGATACTCTTTCCTAACAGGAACAGTTCCAGAAAATACCTGCATTGCTCCAGAAATGCCCTGCCATGGCACTCTCAAATATACTGTATCGTAAGTTTTCCTACCTGAAGTATGTGGCTGTCTAGTGATTGGAATTTTAAATAAGGTCTCGGAGACAAATGAAAAGGAGTAGCTGCTTTCCCAAATCAGCAGCCACTGGTGGTGAGCTACCTGGTGCAGTTTTGCCCTAAAAGCTTATTGTGAGAAAGGATGATGCTTTTTCTCAAATGATAAGATGCTGCATTTTGATGCATGTGAAGTGGGAAGATGATAATAATACAGAGTCAAAATGGAGACAATGTATGCTGAAAAATCCTAATAGTGGTTCCTACAACATCTAAGAGGATAGAAGTAATGAGCACAGGTCTGGTGACAGTGGAAGACCTGAAACCTGTGGCCTGTGGAACTGAGGCTATAATTGTCATCCATCAACAGCATTTTGTTAAGAATGCATGGCTCTTTGCTAGTTACTCATTCAGTGTAGATCCATGTAGATGGAACTTGTTTGCCTGCCCTGCTGAATAGAGTTCAGGTATTTTCCATTTCTTTAGAGAACCCTGGGAACTGCTGCTCTGAGAATTGGGCTCTTACTGCTCTTTAGTCAACCCTTCAGCCCAGGTCTTTTCTCGCTTGTCAATTCCCTTCACTTTAGGGCCAGTTGTTCTGCTGACCCAAAGCTCCTTATTTTTACATTTTTACTTTGACTTTTCTCCCTGCCTCTGAAAGGAATGGTGCATATTCTGAAACACAGCTGCTGTAATGGAAGCAGTAGATGGTCAGCTAACCTTCTTTTATCCATAGTGAACATCTAGCCTTTCCAAGGCTTTCATTTCAGGAGTAATCTTTTCAGGAAAAGGGTTTTTTTTATTTACTTTTTCGAGACTACTTTTTTCCTCTCCTCATAGCTCGTGGCTTAGAATTGAGGCTGCTTGACACATCTTTCTGAATCACATGAAGAGTCCTGGTGGCATAAATGAAGTATTGCCTTTGGAAATGGAAAAAAATTGTAAAAGGCAGGATGTTCTGCTGGGAGAGTCCCCAGAGTGACTCAAGACATTCAGACTCATTTCCAAGGTCACTGCCGGACCTTGGGTGAATCACTTTGTTCTTGGCTTCTAAGAAGAAAATACTTAAAAAAGAAAAAAAGATTCTTAAAAATGGAAAACAAGGTGTTTAAATGTACATCGAGAATAACCATATTTAATTACATGCATTAAACTTGCAAACAGTTCTCTTCAAGATAAAATGTTAGGATTATAAATTCTCAGATTACCATTTTGTGAAAGGGAACCTTGCCTTTATCTCAGATGCTTGTTTTTAGCTGTAGTAGAAGTACTGAACAAGAACAAAATGACAGAGTTAGAAGCAGCTTCTGTATGTATAGCACTAGGATGGACCCCTCAGGTCACAGCATGCATTCTGCTTTAAGGTACTTCTTCGATGGCAAGGTTTCCTTTATCAAAAAATGTGGTACATATCTCTAGGGAAGTGGTATTTGTGGGGTCATTGTTTCTTTGCTGGAGTAGAAGAGGATGTAGAAGCAAAGACTTTGAGATGTTTTCTGGTAGATAATATTAAATTAGTTAATTTAATTTAGATCTTGTGACATGAGACAGTCCTAGCTATTTCTCTCTAGAGACAAGGCAAATCAGACTTAATTTAGTTTTGTTTTGATTAATGACAAAAGGTTGCCTTAACCTTCCAAACACAAACTTCCTCAGTAAAACCTGTGTTCAAAAACTGCCTGAGCAATAGAGTGCATCCAGCAACATAGTTGGATCATCAGCAGGCTTTCTCTAAGAATAAATGGCTGAGCAGAATTCAGAGGCTCAGATTTCCATTCTCTGGCTACCAGGAGAGGAAATGCAGGGATTATTAGGCCATCATTCAGATGATCTCGAGTTCAATAACAGATGTAGTTCATGGTCAGCAACGTGGGCAGACTATATAAAAAAAGCTAGGAGGAGTCAAGGGCACAGCTTTAAAAGATTAGCAGTAAAAGAATGATGGAGGTGCTATCTCCCTTGATTTATCTGCTATGCTAGAAGAAAGATTGGAACATTTGTTGCATCAGCTTATATTAAAAATTAAACATGAAATGAATAACAAACCAGTAAATCTGCATATATTATTAACCAACTGAAGCACGAGACAGTCCACAGAACTCTTGCCAGATAAAATCACACCTCATTAATATTTTGATTGTACCAATGTAAAAGCTGCAATACAAGATGAAAAGCTTATGTCACTTTGCCACTCAAAGAAAACTTCGACCCCAATTCACAAGAATTACAGATATGACAGTCTATGGATTAGATGCACAGCAATGTTACATGTCAGGGAATGACCAAGACCTAAAAAAAAAAAAAGCAGCAATATTTTTTGTTGCTTTTCCTAACCAAAAGAAGCTTCATAACCAGATGGGAAGAGAAAAAAAAATAAAAACAAGTCGAGAGGAGGAGGTTTTTTCCAGACATATTTTGCAAAAAAATAAAAACAAGTCGGGAGGAGGTTTTTTCCAGACATATTTTGCTTGTCTCTTGAACTTCTGCAAGAGATGGAAGGCATTGCAATTATACTCTTGTACTGATTAAGTTCCTAAGATGTTTACAGTGGCTTAACAAGTAGTTAGAATTAGCATTAATTATTCCTTCTTAAGCCTAGTGGATCTGACAATGAAAAAGCTTTATTTCAGTACGCACTGTAGAGACTGAAATATTATTTAGAGTGGGTAAAACCTATAGCCTTTTTGCCAATTTATCTCATTTAAGGTATCAGAATAGGGTTTTAGTGGGGCATGACCAATACTTTTATAGTTCATGATAGCCCTCGTCATGGGACCGATTCCACCTATGAGTATGCTGAAAGTTCATTCCATACAGGAAATAAATACATGCTTGTATGGCTGTTTAATGCAGTCTCCAGGATTGTGTCCTGGGTCTAACCTCCAACAAACTCTGTAGTGTCATCCTTGGAGATCATTACTTGACCAGGCATAGGCATCATTGCCAGAAAGAAATAAAAGTCTCCTGAGAGTTGAGTAACAGGAGAGTTTTGTCCTGGTTGGCTGTGAACGAAACTGATGGCAGGTGGGGCCTGGTTGCATGGTTTTATTAGGGGGGTTTCCAAAGAGCCTCCCAGAATGGACAAATTGATGTGCTCATCAGGAAATTGCTTTGCTGGAGATGGCCTAATCAATCCTATTGCAGAGAGGCAGGCTGCCTTTCACGGTCTTCCTGCGTCCCATTACCATGCATGTCTGCAGTGTGCAACTGGAGCAGCCTGAAAAATATGGACAGCATGTCTGCTGGGTTATACTGAGTGTGAGCAGTTGGTAACCTCTGGGGTTTGTAACTCAGCCAAGCCCAGGAATGTGCCTGCAGGAATACCAAACAGCTCCTGCAGCCCAGGGCTGTGTCTATGCCAGAGTGAACGGCCTCCACCCACTGATGGTGGATTGTGTACTGGTTTAAAAGTAAATATCTCATGCCTCTGCTGCGTTTTCAGCTTAAGTGTAGCAAATGAAAACTGCATCCTTTTTTTTTTTTTATTCCCCAGGAGTCCAGCTTTAATCCAAAAATCTCTTAACTTTTGTTTTCACGCAGGGATCTACCGCACAGAAAAAAATAAAGGCACTTTGTATGAGCTGACTTTCAAAGGAGATGCAAAACATCAGTTCAAGAAGATTGTTTTATTCCGGCCATTTGGTCCTGTAATGAAAGTGAAAAATGAAAATCTCAATATGGCTGACACACTTATTAACATCATTGTGCCATTGGCCAAGAGAGCCAGCAAATTTCGCCAATTCATGCAGAATTTCAGGTGGGTTTCCATTCCAGTGCTGCCTCTGCTTGTTCTTACTTGGAAGGTAAGATGCAATTTTAGGAGCTATCAAGGAGCTATCAGGCTCACTCACTGCTACTTCTACATAACAATATGTCACTAACTAATTTTGGGGATTATAGACTGAAAGGCATTTGGCTGCTTAATGCATTGTGATCAGCAATAAAAGTAATTATATTCCAGTCATCAGGGTTTCTGATTTGCATGTACCTGACTTAGATGTCTCAGTTTGTTGGGTACATGCAACTGTTGCAACATGAGAATTTCATGCAGTAGTCACAAAGGAACATTTCTAAGGAAAAGGGGAATATATGCTCCCAGGTATTTCCCAGGCCCCATTAGGTAAAATATTAAGGCAATAAGAGGCAAGAATGAAATGTATTTGCACTTTCAGGATAGTTACTTTAAAACTTCTTTTATTTTTCAGCACAGAGATGATGTCTGGAGGGAGAACTTAACTGAGATGTGACTTTAAATAGCTGCCCAGTAAAGGCTGTGTTATCAACAGATGCTGACTCTTACAGTGGAATCTGTTTAGCCTGGTTACAGCCATCTGAAAATAGGCTCCTTGTCTAAATTAGCCATCTGATAGGTGGTTGTGGTGCTTGTTTTATTGGGAGAAATCACCCTCTGGTCATGCTGATATCTCTGCTGATTATATATGAACTCTGACTAAACTTTGCTGACTATGACTAAACTATGCTGACTAAACTTTGTGCAAGCAAGGCACAGTGTCTAGCATGAGTCCAGACTGGTCTTACCATTAGGCTACTGGCTTGATCTCTGGTTGATGCTTATGTTTTAGTAAATTACAAAGATCTGAACTCTGGAATATCTGTTACAAAAAATAAAGGTTATGAGGTAGGTTATGTATAGCTTCTTTAAAATCCCACCCTTCTCATATTTTCCTAAGTGCTGGAGTTATTATTACCTGCCTGATCATTCTTCCTGGGGCTGGATGGCCTGTTCCTGCCTGACCATTCTTCCTGGGGCTGGATGGCCTGTTTGAACAGTGTCCTTCTATTAATGTAACAAACACTGCTTAGAGAGCCTGATCCTAATCTGCCTGATAGATAGTCTTCTTTCTGCCCCTTCTGATAGAGACAGTGATCCTCTTGTCAGGACAAGGATCTCTGTCAGTGAGTTATGCCCCCAGGAATG